TGACACTCGAGGAGGCGATCGGGCGCCTCAAAGCCCACGAGGAGAGGGCACGTGTTTTTCGAAACAACGTCGACGATCACCTATTGTTGACGCATGCGGAGTGGCAAGCAAGGAGCAAGAAGAACGGCGGAGGCTTCCTCTCAACACCTACAACCAATGATGGCAGCGGTCGAGGACGAGGTCGCGGGGCCGGTCGTGGGCGTGGCCGTGGCCAAAGAGGCCGAGGCGGACAGCAGCACCACGGCAGCGGGCAGCAGCACCACGCTGCCCAAGCAGGCCGCGGAGGGGAGCACGGCGGCCAGGCAGGCCGAGGCGGCTTCGGCGGCAGAGGAGGACGTCCAGGAGGTGGTTTCGGCCATGGAGGTGCAGCTCGCCAGGAGGGGGAGAGTAGCACAAGCGGTGGTCGAGACAAATCCAACATCAAATGCTTCAATTGCGGAGTATACGGGCACTTTCAGTCGGAGTGTCACAAGCAACGCCGCAACCATGAACAGGAGGCTCATCTCACCCGTGCATATGACGAGGAGCCAACCTTGATGATGGCTATGTTAGAAGAATCGTCAAGTGCCATTCTACTCAATGAAGAGAAGGTGGTGCCAAACTTACTCACAGCGGGGGAGGCACAAGTTGCCAACGACGTTTGGTACCTTGACAACGGAGCTAGCAATCACATGACCGGCCACCGAGACAAGTTCAAGGAGCTCGACGAGAACATCAAGGGAACCGTCAAGTTTGGTGATGGATCCGCGGTAGAGATCAAGGGGAAAGGCTCTATCCTCTTTCAGTGCAACAACGGCGATCAAAGGCTACTACCTGAGGTATATTATATTCCAAGTTTGAAATCTAACATTATTAGCCTTGGTCAGATGACTGAAGATGGGAGTAAGGTTGTTATTGCTGACGAGTTCCTGAGGGTGTTTGATAGGAACGGTGCTCTCTTGATGAGGGTGACACGTTCAACTAACCGATTGTACAGGATAGAGTTAAAGACTTGCAAGCCGGCGTGTTTGATGGCGAACATTAACGATCCAGCTTGGTTATGGCATGCTCGCCTTGGGCATGTCAATTTCTTCGCCCTCAAGATGATGACTGATAAGAGGATGGCTTCCGGATTGCCGAAGATCTTGCACCCGAATCAACTATGCGAAGGATGCCTTGTCGCCAAGCAAGCAAGACTGCCATTCCCTTCACAAGCAAATTTCAGAGCTCAGAAGCCGCTGGAGTTACTACATGCTGATCTATGTGGTCCTATCACCCCATCTACGCTTGCTGGGAACAACTACTTCCTCCTTATCGTTGATGATTTCAGTCGATGGATGTGGGTATACATGTTGAAGGCCAAGAGTCAAGCTTGTGAAACCTTCAAGAAGTTCAAAACAGAGGTTGAGAATGCATGTGACCACAAGGTGAAGACATTGAGGACGGATCGTGGTGGCGAGTTCTTGTCAAAGGAGTTCACCAAGTTTTGTGAAGACTACGGCATCAAGCGTCATCTCACTGCACCGTACACCCCGCAGCAAAACGGTGTAGTGGAGAGGCGTAATCGCACGGTGATGGACATGGCGAGGAGCCTACTTAAGAGCATGCATATGCCTGGAACCATGTGGGGCGAAGCGGTTAGGCACGCGGTGTACATCCTCAACCGACTACCAACCAAGGCGTTGCACGACCACACACCCTACGAAGCTTGGTTTGGTAAGAAACCCCACCTAGAACACTTGAGAGTTTTTGGATGTATGGCGCATGTGAAGATTGCAGGTCCTTCGCACAAGAAACTCGACGACCGGAGCACGCCAATGGTGTACATTGGAGTAGAGGAAGGAAGCAAAGCGCATCGCCTCTACGACCCTCAACACGGCAGAATTCATGTCAGCAGGGATGTCGTGTTCGAGGAAGGAAAAGAATGGCAATGGAGCGCAGATGGAGACGTAGAACCACTCAGCTGGGTAGAGTTCGCAGCGGAAGGGGACTCAACAGCGGGCGGCACAGCAGCTGGCGCAACAGCCGGTGCATCGCCTGCAGTCCAGGACAGCAGTCAGACCGAACTGCTGCAGCAATCTGGACAACCTGCTGGCCGAACAGCCCCTGCAGGAGCACATGTCGCAGCGGCGCTGATCGGAGACGAGCCTGGACAGCCGGGACACCGAACAGCTCCTGCAGGAGCTGCTGCTGCTGCTGGCATTGCTGCTGGCCGAACCAGTTTGCAGCAGAGCGCTGCTGCTGACCGAGGATCCTCGCAGGGCACTGCTGCTGCTCCGAGTCCAGGAACTACTGCAGTGATGACTCCGGTACGCTATCGATCTCTTGCGGACATCTATGCGGAGACGGAGGTGATTGATCTCCCGGCAGAGGAGTTGTTTCTCATCAATGAAGAACCAGCGAACTATCTTGAGGCCGCAACAGATCAAGAATGGCAGACTGCCATGGAGAAAGAGATGGAGGCCATCGAGAAGAACAAGACTTGGATACTCACGGAGCTACCGCGAGGTTCCAAACCCATTGGTCTCAAATAGGTATACAAACTGAAGAAAGACAATGAAGGCAACATTCTTAAGCACAAAGCAAGACTTGTAGCAAAAGGGTACGTCCAGCAGCAAGGCGTGGACTTCGATGAGGTGTTTGCACCCGTGGCGAGGCTTGATACCATCAGAATAATCCTCGCTATATCAGCACAGAACGGGTGGGAGGTGCACCATTTGGATGTGAAGTCGGCATTCCTAAATGGTGATCTCCAGGAAGAAGTGTATGTGGTTCAACCTGAAGGGTTCGTTGTGAAGAATCAAGAGCACAAGGTCTACAAGCTTTCAAAGGCACTCTACGGTCTACGCCAAGCACCTCGGGCATGGAACACGCGCCTCGACAAGTGCATGAAGGGCATCGGATTTGCAAGATGCACTCAGGAGCAGGCGGTATACACAAGGAGTAACAGAGGAGATACACTCATTGTTGGCGTGTACGTAGATGATTTGATCGTTACGGGCTCGAGGGCGGATGAGATAAAATTTTTCAAGCAACAAATGATGAAGGAGTTCGAGATGAGTGACCTTGGATTACTTTCTTATTATCTTGGCATCGAGGTGGATCAGCGAGATGATTGTATTGCACTAAGGCAGGCGGCCTATGCGAAGAAGGTTTTGGGTCAGTTCGGCATGATGGATTGCAACTCGACACAATATCCTATGGAAGCAAAGCTAAAGCTTGGAAAGGATTCTGAAGGAACACCGGTGGACGTGACGGAGTATAGACGCATTATCGGATGCTTAAGGTATCTAACTCACACCCGACCCGATATCACATATGCCGTGGGGATTGTGAGTAGGTACATGGAGCACCCTACAGTTTTGCATAGACAGGTTGTCAAGCATATTTTGAGGTACGTGAAGGGTACTATGTCCTACGGATTGGTGTACAAACGAGGTCGAGGCAATGAAGAGTTGGTGGGATTCACTGACAGTGACCTTGCGGGAGATGTTGATGATAGGCGCAGCACAGGCGGCATGGCATTTTATCTAGGTGACAGTTTGGTCACTTGGACATCACAGAAGCAGAAGACGGTGGCATTATCATCCTGCGAGGCAGAATTTATGGCGGCAACTGCAGCAGCATGCCAAGGCTTGTGGTTGAGGAGTTTAATCAGCGAGGTGATTGGGAGTGAGCCCAAGCCGGTCACACTCTTCGTCGACAACAAGTCCGCGATTGCCTTGATGAAGAATCCAGTTTTCCATGGAAGAAGCAAGCATATCGACACACGTTTTCACTTCATTCGTGAGTGTGTTGAGCGAGGACAGATTAAAGTGGAGTTCGTGAGCACGAGCGAGCAGCGAGCGGATATTCTCACGAAGGCACTAGCAAGGGTGAAGTTCATCGAGATGCGAGAACTGCTAGGAGTAAGGGACTTGGAATCTCGTCCAGATTAAGGGGGAGAATGTGAGTTGTTAATCAGTCCGGATTGGTAGTTTGAATCTTAGTTAGTAGATAGAATTCTAGTTAGAATAGAATACTAGTTAATAAGGAGTTTTCTAGTTATTGGATAAGATTAGAGTTGTAATCTTAATCCTATATATATGTAAACAATTGATGAGTTTTGTTAGAACGTGAATAAAAAGAAAACAACAAGAAAAGTTCCTGCCTCTCCTCTGTTCATTCTCTCTTCTCTCTGTTTACAGGTTCTCTTTTGTGTTCCCTTCTCTGTTCGGGTTCAACATCAAAAACAGGGACTCGAAAATTCCTGCAGAAAGGTCCAAGCTAGGTGGTGTTCGGTTTCTCCACAACCGGTCAAGGAAGTTTTTTTGATTACAGGTTGTTTTCCTAACTCTGCTTTCAGGTTTGATACATAGGCCGATCCTATTATAAAGCCAACATATACAGCATCCCCATTCTCATTATGGCTTGCAGTGATTCATTCATATTCATTGCCTTGTTGCAACATTTCTTCTCTGGCTACACACGACAAACTCATGTCATCCATATCAGAATAAAGATTACCATATACCTAAAGTCGCCATAGCCAAATACAAAAATCCACCAAAAGTAAATTAACTGATACAAATCTATCCAAAAACTAAAAAGTCTTTCAGAAAGCTTGGAGGCTCTTTAAAAAGAGGAAACTTCACTACTCATTTGTTACAACATATAGAAAAAGAAGGTTTCTTTGGATTCCAAGATTTCTCTGCTCTTTCTTCATACCACGATGTAGTGTGACAATACTTGCAGATGATAGTTGGTTTGCCAAACATGGCTATATTAAATATTTATACATTTAATGTATCACAGTTTTCCACTTTTGCATATATCAACCTTTTGTTAAAACCTAAATATTAATTTTCATTCATAAGATACCTACAAATGGAGAAATAGCAAAATAACAAATTACACTTTCCAATTAACATAATCAAAAACAATCACTTCTCCAAAATCTTTGATGTTGTCAAAAATTCTCTGATGTCATCATTTTTGACGTTTAACTTCTCTGGTCCCTAACCCAACAGAAACACGACCCATCAAAAATTAAAGACTACTTATTCATTAGAAAAAGTGAAGGACAAACAAAATGGACATAAAAATTACTGATGTCCAAAAAATCCTAATTCTTCAAATAATCAAGATGAAAGTACCGAAAAAACTACTACTAAATATTTCAAAAGAATAAATAATCCAATAAAAGTACACTTAATTATTCTCAGGTTGTAGAGTACGCCAATCTGTGAAGAAATGGTGAAAGGTCTGAATTGAAAGATGATTTTCAACCTGAGACAATTAATAAATTTAATTAGGATAATATATGAAAACTGAAAATTTGATGTTTATGTCGAATAAAAACTAATTAGATCTCACAACAATAGATAAATCACTACTAATAGAAAGAATATTAAGAAAAGCCCAAGTGAAATTATATCCACCTAATAATAACCAAACCAGAAACTAAATACATAGTCAGTGCTCATAATACATTGTCAATGGTAACTCTTGATATTGCTTACATTGGCAAGCTATAGCCTCGCCAATACAATATATCAAATAACATCGATTCTTTGATATCATCAATGTAAGAGAAAGTGAGTTTATAACATAGCTAAATTTTGATATCTTTTATTGAGAACTGAAAATGGTTGCTTTATGTTACATTATATTTCCCTAAATAGTATTCTAATGATTAGTATACTATCGAATATTGCACTTTGCTTCTCCAATTACAGAAACAAATCTAATTCTTCAAACATGCAGTTTTTGTTTTTGGGTCTTCAAGGTCCCTTTTGAAATCACCATAAAATCGTAGAAGACATGAGCATTTTATCCATACCAAAGGTTAGAGCTTATAGGATATTATCTATTAGAAAAAGTTTATACCTTCATCCTTTGCCATTTCTGCCGGATATTATTTATATATATTACTTAACCATATCGATCCGTGAACTTAACAATGCCTAATTTCTTGCCTAAGATATTATTTATATATATTACTTAACCATATCGATCCGTGAACTTAACAATGCCTAATTTCTTGCCTAACCCTAGGAAAAAAACAATCAACAAAAAGACTAAAAAGGAAATATAAACAGAATCAAGTGTGATTAAGGCCTAGTGGAAATTTCAGTTGCATCCCATTAGCATCATTTTCCCACATTTGCTTAATGTTATGAGAAATACTGATATATAGCTAAAAGCAAGATAAAGATTATGAGTTAGGATTATACAACAATACCTTCTTTGTTGGAAGCTCATAGTTTATTAGAATGTGAGCAGATATACAACAATACCTTCTTTGTTGGAAGCTCATAGTTTATTAGAATGTGAGCAGAAACAGGTGCTTCTCTAGGAACAACAGAAAGCAAACAGGCATCTGTTACAACAATCATAGTACACTTGTGGTCTCCATTTCCAGATTCAGTGCAATCCCCAGGAAGAACATTGATGTTCTGACTCCACTCTGAAGTCGATTGACGAAACTTTTCGAGAATTGATGCACGATCAACTTCAACCAGATCACTGTACTGCACTTGTGAAGTACAACAATAAGCTGTAACTGAAGAATAAAAAACATAGTCTGAAAGATCGAAACCGAAGATAATTGAAACTAACAAAGGATAAGCTAACTTAAGGTACTTTTCTTCCTTGATTTATGGGTAAATAACGAAAAACAGTGTTTTAGTTCCTTAAGAATGGTTGAAGGCCTCAAAAAAAGGTTGTTGCTCAAACCCAACATACAAACCAACGGCATAAATATCTAGGCTTTCCATAGAAATTTAGTATAAGAAGCCAAATACTCATAGCATGCAAACACAATCATAAATATCTAGGCTTTCCATAGAAATTTAGTATAAGAAGCCAAATACTCATAGCATGCAAACACAATACACCACTTCTCTTACATTAGGACAACAATTGATGCACTAACAATCAAAACCTTCGAGGAACAGTCATAATACCAAATATATCTCTACTCACTCAGATTGGAGCGCTGCCATTTCCATATACCAATTTCAGGGGGTATGATCTTACACAATAGAGCATGAAGGCTATGGAAGCTGTATCTTTTGTTCTGTATGATCTGTTCTCAAGAATGAATGCTTTGCTAGCCTTACGGGTTTTATAATATGAAATCTTTACTATCTTTATGATCCCTTCTCAACTCCATACTCCTTACTAATAATTTTCATAGCATCCAGCAACGAAAAACTGTCAAAAAACCAACCAACAAAAAAGCAATATAGACGGAGGGATTTCACTATAAGTCATCTGACAAAATCTCCTAAACCACAAAAAGTTGTAAACTTGCATTAGTATTATATACTTTCAATCTTATGGGCATACTTCCTTTCCTAAACCACAAAAAGTTGTAAACTTGCATTAGTATTATATACTTTCAATCTTATGGGCATACTTCCTTCACATAAATCTCAAGAAGCAGTATTATATACTTTCAATCTTATGGGCATACTTCCTTCACATAAATCTCAAGAAGCAGCACTTAATTTCGCCCCAGTCTGCCTCCAACTGAAAATTATGAAGTTCGCACAATTAATGATGAAAGTCATTTACTTAAATGTAATACCTAATATGTTATATCACAATGGATCCCAAGCCCAATCTTGGAAGCTCTCTTGTTGAATTCCGAATGAACCGAGACCGCCGACGACTTCGGCCCCTCGGCCGCGTTCACAGCGGAGTTACCAAACTGCGCGTTCGGTTGATGAGAGGGGATCGTCTTCTTCAATCTTTCCGTCGCTGTCAGAAACTCCTGCGTCCGATCTCTGTACGACGATTTCGCCGACCTCGAATACATCTCGACTTCTCTCTAAGATCTAGAATTTTATGAAACACATTTCAAGAATTAATAGCGCTGATCTTGATTTCGACCGACGATAGGTCCAGATCTGGGAGCGAGTGTTGAAATGAGCCTCGAATTGGCCCCCCGATCTTGAATCTGAGGAGGCGAGGGGGTGCAGATCTAGGTCTGGGTGATGGGGTGAGTCTATCGTTTTGAGAATTGGGGGAAATTTGGAAGGGGATTTCAAGGGAAGGGATCGGTAAGAGAAGATGGCGGAGGAGGAGGGATGTACGGGATCGATAAGAGATACCAGGGGCCTTGATTGAGTTGAGGGATTGGTGGGGGAAGTTAGGGAAGTGGAGAGGAAGAGTCGTGGGTGGGAACATTAGAACGTGGGTGTGGAAGTTTTATCTATGCTTATTTTGAGTACGTGGATTAGTTAGTTATTAATTTTAATTTTTCTATTGTTGTGAGAACATTAGGTTACTGTTTATTTTATTTTTTTGTTGTTCTCCTTTAATAATAAAGAAGTACTAAAATTTGTTTCTTAGTTTCACTTTGCTTGTTTTTGCTCACTTATGTCTTTAAACTGTGATTATTTAATTTATTTTCTTTAATGTTTGTTTGGATGGGCTACACCAAATTTAAAATTTTCACGTTAATAATTGAATTGATAAGAAATAAATATAATCTAAAGCTAATTTGAATTTACACGTTATTTGGATCGATATGAAACCAAGCTTGACTTGAGAAGGTATAATGTTGTAAAAGTAAAAAACAATTGAAGAAATAGTGTTATAAAAGAAAGATGAATAATTAAAGCCAATAATCCAAGATGATTAATTAAAAGTGGGCTACAATGAAACTAAAAAAATATAAATTTTGTTGCTAATCATTGATAGACTTTAGAAAAAAATATAAAATAATGATTAATACTAACTCGAGTACACTTTTATATGATAAATGCATCCACATAACCATATAAAAATATTAAAAGAGTTCATGAAAATCCCTTCTAAAGATTCTTGATTTTTCCTCAAAAAATTAAGCTATTCTATAAAATATTCAATAAATTAAATTTGTGTTGTATTTTATGTTTAGTGGCCTTTAATAAGAATTTTAATTGTAAAATATGTTACCTTCATATTTAAAGATCTTGAAACCTGACAGTACTATTACATGCTTATCTTTGATCGTGTCCCTAAAAATTGATCATTCGTTGGTAGTCGTATCCCCAAATAAGGTTACTTGTAGAGTCGTGGCGCTATATAGAAAAAAGAAAAATATCAATTTTAACTATTTTTTACTTACGCTATGGTAACTAAGTATCATGTGCATACTTTTTGTCAATTATAGTGATTTTCCTCATATTATCTAGCTTATTATACTCGCAATATAGTTGATCAATGGCTTCGCTTTAGTTTCTACTACAAGATTATTTATATATATTTTTATATTAAGTTTATGATTCCTTTAGTATTTTAAGAATAAAGTATGAAAATTTTTAAATACTTACTAATTTTTGTTGTATCTTTCATGAAGAATGCTTTTTTAATTAGAACAAAATTGTTTAATATGTTTTTCAAGGGGAACTCGGTCAGTGCTTCTTTGTCAGATTTGCCTTTTATCAATGTCAATTCAAGTGATTCATGAATGTTTCCGAATTTTGAGTTTATTTCCTTCACTTCTCCATTTGAAATGGAAACAACTTAGTTCTTTTAAATGATATCTCTGAACTTTCTGATAGTTTCTCCATACATATCTCATTGTATTTTTTACCCTATAAATATTATCAATATTAGATATAAATGTTTATACATTACAATAAGTTAATATTAACCTATTATATTATAGTATTTTATTAATTTTTCCTCTATCAATGGATGTTATTATTAAAATTATATGCAGTTCCTTGAATTTATACAGTAATGTTAATTTTTAATCTATCATATATTTTTAAATTCTTATTCCTAAATTGGATAGCTTTAATCTATGGTAATTGCTATTTTTTTACCAGCATCAACTTAGACTATTTTTAGATGTTGAAAAGAGATAATAAATTTTAAATTGAAAGTTAAATTTATATAACTTAATGTTATAATATCAAACATTTCCTCTTTTCTTTGCCAAATTTTTAGCCTTTTTGTGATTTTAAACTTTTGAGGGTGTGTTTTGTAATTTTTAAACTTTGGTAGTATTTTATGAAAACTTTTACTTATAAATTGGGTGCTTATAATTCATATTTTATGTATTGGTGGTAAATTTTCCAATGTTAGAATATTTCTTGTAACTGTGAAAATTTGAAGGTATTTTTACAATTACTAAAAATTTGGGTTGTTTTTAAAAATTTTTAAATTTCAATGATCTACTGATAATTTCTAAATTTGATGTGTACAGGTTATAAGTTTTAAAATTTCAGGATCTGATAATTTCTAAATTTGATGTGTACAGGTTATAAGTTTTAAAATTTCAGGATTTTTTGTAATTTTTTACTTTTGGGAGAGTTTTTGTAAGTGTACAGGTTATAAGTTTTAAAATTTCAGGATTTTTTGTAATTTTTTACTTTTGGGAGAGTTTTTGTAATTTTTATAACTTTAAGGTTATTTTTTACAAATTTTAAGTGCTTAATGGTAATTCTTGGAATCTATCTATGTTGTTGTTAAGTTTTGAAATCTCTGAATTTTAGGGTGTTTTTTATAATTTAAACTTTTGAGTTGTTGCTGTAATTTCTAAAATATTGAGGGTGTTAATTACAAATTTTAAATTATTAGATTTCTTGTTTGTTTATAAGTTTTAAAAAGTCAAGGTGTTTTGTGTAATTTTAAACTTTTAAGGATATTAAATGCAATTTTTGAAACTTTTGGGTTTTTGTAATTATTCATGCATTATAATATGTTATCCACGTATAATTTCTTTATCTTATTTTTTCTAAATTTTTGAGTTATAGGTAGTTAATATGGAGTTAATATAAGATATAATTCGCATTTGGATAGATTAAAATTTAAATAAAATATTTAAAATAACTTTTTTTAATTGTTGAGCTATAGATAGTTTACGTGGAATTAGATAAGTTATGATTAAAATTTAAAAAGATTAAAATTTAAATGAAATATCGAAAATAGTGAAGGGTAATATTGACCATTAAAGTTTTTCCTGAACCCGTGCTTTTAAAAGGAGTATGATATATATATATGGGAGAAGTGTTCCTAAGGTGACGCCTTAGATAATCATCTAAGGACGCGGCCTAAAATCACATGATTGAGCTACATTGTTCATTGTTGATAATCCGCTCCGTTAAACTTGATCTACATATTCTAAAACTCCAACACAATAAGTTTGTGGTGAACCCGTCATTGTTTGACCCTTCATCCACTCGTATCAATTTTAACGGTTTTGAATGAATAGAACTTTTCACATAGCTCGACGGAGGGTCAAACGACGATGAGTTTACCCCAAACTTGGTGTGTTGGGGTTTTAGAATATGTAGATCAAGTTCAACGGAGCGGATCATCAACAATGTAGCTCAATCATGTGATTTTAAGCCGCGTCCTTAGACGATTATCTAAGGCGTCACCTTAGGAACACTTTTCCCTCTATATATATATATATATACACACATGGCAAAGCAACATAAACACATATAAATCTTAGAGAGATAAGCTGCGCATCAAACTTCTCAGCGACACAAGTTTTTCTGTGATAAAACCCAAACTGAGGTACCTGACATTCGTATAGAGCTCATGAAAACTTTTGGCAAAGGTCGTAAGAATATATCATCATCGCAAGAAAAACTTGCTCCGTGATAGTGGTACAGTTTATCCTCTTTTCTTCATTTTTTAATGTTTATGTGTGTGCTTTGAAGTGCTAATTCCTTGCATTAGTATATTGCAAGAATATATATAAACTAGCCCCCAATTGTTATGAATTTAATTTATTTTATAAAATCATCAAATGAATGCATGTGTGCTTTGAACTGAGTTGCTTGTGTTGGTTTGGGTGTAGACCAAACCTCGATTCAGGCGAGGGCAGACGACGTCAGGCGAGCTTGAGCGAGCTGCAGGCAAGGTTGAGCGCGGTGCAGGCGAGCTCGACGAGATCCAGGCGAGATCGACTCGTAGGAGAGCTTGAGTTGGTGCAGGCGAGGTCGACGAAGTGCAGGCGAGCTCGACGAGCGTCAGGCGAGGTCCAGGCAAGCGGGCAAGCTCAATGCAGGTGAGGTCGAGCGGGAGCTTTCCACAAGCGAGGTCGTCGCCAGTTGTCGCCACCTGTCACCTTCTCGTGTTCTTTTAGTAGCGGCGGAGCTCCTTCTCTCTCCTCTCGCGATTCTTTTTCTTTCCAGCGCTCAGAGATTTGCGGGGAAAATTAAAAAGAGAAATTTAAAGAGGAGGAATTAAAGAGGGGTATTATAGAGAGGAGAATCTTCATTGTAGCTATAGTTAATATTTGTATTTATTGAGATATCTCAAGTTTAAGATCTGCTCTTGCATTGTAATTTCTTGTTAATTAATAAAAATTAATTGTGTGGCTCCCGAGGACGTAGGCAAGTTTATCGAACCTTGTTAAATATTGGTGTACTTTTCTCTACTGCGTTTTCTTACTGTTTTAGGGGTTTAGTATAGCAACGGGTATTTTCCAACAGCTTGTTGTTTTATATCATGGCACCCGATGAATGCAAGTCAATGGTTCGTTATATATAGCCAAAGTCTCACCTTCCTTCTTTATAGACTCTCGCCCAAATAGCCTAAATAACTTTAAAAGTGGTTTGCCTTCTATATCAATTAGGCATAACTGCATAACAAGAAATTTTCAAATAACTAAAAGATATATCAAATCACTTACTAATTGAACATCCTAACTGAATTAAGATTTAAATGCTGATCAAAAGGAATCAAGACTCCTACTAATATGCAAATAGTTTATGGTATTCAAAGATTTCCAGTCAAAATGTTACTTGCTCAGATTTTTATTTTCACGGTTTTGTGTTTCTTAATCATCTGTGCAGGTCGAATGTAGCACTGACTAGAGCTCGTTACGGCATTGTTATCTGGGGGAATCCTAAAGTCTTAAGCAAGCAGCCACTGCAAAATGACTTATTGACAGAATATTTTATTGGGTGGTGCAACACTGACCCAAAAACATGAGACCATATATGAGACAGGTGAGGTGTCTGCTCCCTGTCCCATGATGCACTGTTCATGAACAGTGCATCATGGGACATGGAGCCGACACCTCACCTGTCCCGTGTAGAGTCTCATATTTTTAGATCACTAAGGCATTTTTCTATTTTATTACATGCATCTTCTCTCCTACAAGTGTTCTTATATTGGTAGTAGCTTCAATTTTGTAGCCATATTGACCTCAAGGTCTCGCACGAAGTCTACAATAC